AGAATATCTCTCCGGAAAATGCAGCAGCTGGTGCTTATATTTCTGGAGCTGGAAAAAGTCTYCTCTGACATCAAAAAGGTTTATTTTTCCCTTCCCTTCCCCTCTGCCTGCCACCACACATGGTGATCCCAACCCCAGTTTGCCCCCCAGAAAACCCTCACTGAGCTCTGAGCAAGGCCAGGATAAATGGCTGGCTGTGATCCCTGTTCCAACGGTCTTGAAGGATGTGGTTGGTTGTTCCATGAGCAAGGAGCCTCGTCAGCCCTGTGAATCACCCCTCAATCACTTCCCTCTCCAGAGAAGAAACAATTCCTGTTCCTGTGCATGAGAATATACAGAGAAAGAGAGAGAGAGAGAGAGAGAGAGAGAGAGAGAGAGAGAGAGAGAGAGAGATGGGGAGCAGGCAAGAGTGCTCACCCCTGTATGGCACTGACTACTGACCTTGCTTTTAACTGGAGCACCTTCTTCCTCTCTCCCAACCCATATTCCTTCCCTTCTCAGCTATCAGGAAGCCATCAGTAGGTTCCAAGCTTAGCTCAGGATCCCCTCCAGGTCTGAACAGCTGTCCCATGTTTATCTGTTTCTCCAGGACTGGGTGTTTTCCATGGGGCAAGTAGCCCAATTTCACATCAGACTATGAACAGCTGGGCCTTCCTTTCTGCCCAGTCTTTCCTTTGCTCTCCATTTCACCTATAAGGTCCCAGATGTGCTTCAGTGCTTTGGTGAGGAGGAACACCACATGGAAACCAGTATGCAGTGAGCACCCATGATGGGTGCCAGGTTCTGGGTAGAAGCTTTCCCCTGAATTATGACAGGTCAAAGCCCTGTGAAATTACAGGAGGAAACAGAGCCCCAGAGTGACTGGTTCAAGGTTGCACAGCTAGGAAGAACCAGAGGCCAACCCAATCGGCCCAACGCCATTCCTTCCATAACGGAACTGGCCCTGGAGAAGGCCTTTTCAGACTGCAGCTGTACATCCTCACTCCTTGTGGGCTGGAGCCACAGTCTAAGGGCTCAGAAATGAATGAGTTTGGGGTCAATTCCTAAAAATGTGGTTCCAAGGACCCACACCAAAAACTGTGATGATCTAAACACAGGGAGAATGTATTATTTCCACAGGGTCCACCCTTCATTCCTCACTCTGCGCATCACTGAGTACAGAAACCATTCTGAATTTGCTCCACTCCTCCCAATCCCCAGGGACCTCCCATCATTGCCCATCAAACTCACCTACCTGCCTCCTGGTGGAAGGCCCATACAGTGAGACAGCCCTCTGATACCACCCCCCATTGTACAGGCCTGAGCCTGGCCTCCCCACTCATGTTCCAACTGAAGAGAGGGCCCATCTTAGAATCTCTCCTCCTTTGGACGTAAACTGACATGCATTTCCCAAGATCTGCCTGAGAGACCCCATGCAATCTGGTTAACCTCTCTTAGCCTGTTAACCCATCTGTAAAAAGAAATCAAAGAACCTCCCCCACACAGGAGTACATTGGATGAACTGTAGCAATCCCATGAGAACATGCATGTTGAGTGTTAGGCACCATGGATGGTAGCTGTTAACACTGGCTACTACTTGTTTTCCCTAAAGAGTTCTGTGGATATCAGAATGTACATGATTGGTATTTGTCTGAAATAAACACTCAGGAAAGAAAATGATGGTCCAAATCCAAACAGACATAATCCATCGTTTGCTTTAGATAAATGAGCTTCTCTTACAGCTCAACATACACCTATACTCATGTGAACACAAAGAATTATGTGAATCTGAACTCAATCCCTATCAGAAAGCTTCCAAATGGGATTAATTTGCAGTTTGCATCCAGCATTAGCAGGACCCTTTTAAGGACAAGTGGTGGCCAGTTTTCCTACAGTCTCCTGTGGGCAGCTCATGAAGACTAGGAAAGGGGCCCAGCTCCCGGCCAGGAGCCGGACCTAAGCAGCAGCTGCTCGCCCTTCCCAGCCCCACCCCTAGCAGGGGCTGGCAGAGAGAAAGGAAGCCAAGGGCTGGCGGCACCATGCAAACTGAAGGAGGCTACTGGCCTGTCTTGCATAAACAGACCCAAAGCACAGGACCCCAGGCAGCTCTCCCTCCTCATGGAGATGAGCACGCCCCTGGCTGGATGTCCTGAGAGAACCTTTGCATGTGTTCCTGGAGTTTGGGAGCCAGTGGAGCTCCTCCTGCTTGGGCCCCAGGCCTCTCTCATCAGCGAGTTCTGGCTAATGTGCACATCCCATAAAACCTCTTTCCTCTGCAATTTACCAAACCACAGACTCAGCATTCACCATAGGTGGAGGGCAGACTAGAAGGAGGCATGCTTCTCCAGTGTAGAGGTTTCTAGAACACACACAACTTGGACACAGCACATTCTGCCAGCTAACCACACCAGAGTACTTTACCCAGAACACTTAACCTTGTGCAGGAGGTCCACACCCCAAGGGCCAAGAGARGAGGGAATTCCAAGCCTCAGGGGTCACAGCCTCCTCAACTGGCTCCTCCTGTCCCTGTTGCCCCTGCTTCCTATTATTGGACACCCTATTTTATGCCTTATGCCCCRAATGTAGAGGAATCTCTCCACCAACAGATATTTGTCTTTCTAGTCAACCTCAGCCAGACTTAAGGTACCATTGATGAACAAAACCCATACCACAGGCAAAAGGCCAGTTCAACTCAGAGGCTGAGACAGCTGTGATGCATATTACTCCATCCGGTTCTCAGTTTCCTCATCTACCAGATGAGTCCTTGATCCCTGCCAGCTCCACAATCCCACCACATACAACACTTTCTCCTCTTATTGTTTTCCAGGACTTCAGTTCAGAAATCTGTATGGCTCAGTGACATCACTCCCTGTCCCAAACACTATGTGATTGCTTCTTACACGGGAAGCAGAGCTGTCCCAGGAAACACTTTGTCTGTAAAAAGGGAGGAAATGATCATGTCAAGAGAACTGGACAGGACTTCTTTTGTGTTGCCCATACAGCACACGTTATTATCAATCTTAAGACCCAAAGACTTTCTTCCTTTTTGCCAGACCATTAATAGCTGCTTTTCAGAAACACTTTCTTAGTCAGAATCTCACCAACAGTCAGTTACCATTTAATGAGTGCTTGTTATGTGCCAGGAACTGGGCTAARTGCTTTACATGGATGATCTCATTTAATTTTCCCCACAGCCCTCTGAAGTACATACTATTATTATCCGCACTTTTAAAGCGAGGAAACTGAGGCCCACGGAGGTTAAAGAACTTGCCTAARGTTGTACAGCTAGTTAGTGGCCAACCTAGGCATTGAATAAGACCTCCTAACTTCAGAGCCCCCAGAAAGACCCTCCCTGGTCCTGGTGGAAACACTCCTGGTTTGTTGCCAACAGATTTTGCATTTGTAATCTTGGGCATTGTTGGTMAGAGCTAAAAGGCAAGATTTAAAATGTCTAAATTCCAGAGCTAAAAAAGCACCTGCCTGGGTCTTGGAGCAGAGTGCCATCTGTTGAAAGCAGTGCCAATCTCTGCCAAGGACTAGAAAACAGAACCCTTAAACTTAGCCTGCAAAACTTGAGAAAAGAGGTTAGGAAAACCGTTTTGATTCTAAATCCTGGTATGTGCAAATGGGCATCTGTCCTGGGAGCAGGGTGATCAACTGGTGATCCAAGCGCTCCAAAAGTTTTCTTGTAATGGCAGTAGAAGAAGCTTGCAAAGCCAGATGRCACAAATGGATTGACTCCCTGATCGTGTGTCAGGAAATATCCCCCACAGGCACCTACCTCCCTGCCTGATCACTTTAACCTTCTCTCCAACCTGAGCCTAGTCACACTTTCTCAAATGTAAAGAACTCCCTCTTCAGAGCTCCTGGTGATTCCAGAGAAAGAGCCTGAGGCTGGCAGTACCACAAACCCCAGTTCYCCTCCAGCAGGGAAATAACAGGCACTTCAGAGATCAATGTGCAATCTAGCGCAGCAACCAACAGCCTGTTTTAATTGTTAAAATTAATGCTTTGAGCATTCTGAATGCTCCTTTAAATGCTTAATTTGCAAATAAGATGCAGCCCTGCTGTCACCATGTCCTCTGTACTTCGCAAACTGGGTTGTGGATCCCCTTTCTCTCTAGGACTGGAGCACGGTGCTAAGATAGGCTTCTTCAGATGTCAAAGACACTGTTTACTTCCTAAGGTGTGAAGGATGGGAAGATAGGACTGGCTTAGATGAAAAGGGGACTGTCACACAGAGCCTGGAGCCCGGCCCCSGGTCAACCTCAGCCCCTTCTCATTAAGTTTGGGGAAGGTAGGGGGGAGGGGCGGTTGGCCATTCCTTGGAGACCACAGCCAACATTTGCTTTCTCGTGTCTGGAGATGGAGCATCACTTAAGAGGAAATGACCCCGGTTAAGGGTCACGTCCAGAGGAGGGATAAAAGGAAAAGCCACAATTCTCCTCACACCACGGGACACAATGGCTTTAAGAAGGAAATCAAAGCTGGGCGCTGAGAGTGGAGGGGGCAGGGGACACGGCGCTTCCTTCTGCCCCCAGACCCAGGCCTAGGCAGGCAGACAGCAAACGCGGGCTGCAGAGTGCGAGGCGTGGGTCTCCGGGCAAGCCTCTGAAAGCATCCCGGGCTGAGCGAGCGCGAGCGACCCGAGCCCCCAGGGAGCGCCGGGAAGATGCTCTTTCCCAGTGGAGTCGTTCAACTAGGGGCTGACGAAAGCGCCCCCCTCCCCGCCCCAATCCATCAAAGCTCAGGCGGACAGATGACTTCACCGTTGTAACAGACAAGGGCAGCCACTTGCCAATTCCAATGCCAAAAAAAGAAACCGGAGAGAGGGGAGTGGAGAAAGGACAGAAAAGGTTTCCCTGAAGATCACAGCCCTGCAAAGAAACTCTAGAGCCACAGGCTGCCCTGAGGGCACGCAGCTCCGGGACTTACTAGCGAGGAGGAGCTGGGGGCCACCCCGCGCCCTGGCCAGCCCCCCGCTGGGGTATCTGGGTGTGGGGGGAGCGGACAGTACTCACATAATGCTTGGAGGGGTTCCTCCGCTTCTCCACGTCCACCACGGTGGCATCTTGCACGCAGTAGGCGAGCATCTTCCCCACAAAGCGAGTGGCGCCCCCCGGCGGCGTCACCTTCTCATCCCGGCCCTGCTCCGGCTCCTGCAGCCCGGGTCCCTGCCGCCACCCGCCACACCGGCCCGGCGCGCCGATCGCTGCCCGGGCTTCCTGTGCCCACGGGCACGGCCCGGGTCAGGCGACGGTCCCGGAGGGCACGAGGGYTCCGTGCGTCTCGGGAGGCTCCCCGTGGGCCTGCCTTGCGCCCCTTCCCTCCCGCGTCGCCGCTGCAGCCGCCCGGCTCCTGCTCGCCCGCCCGCCTGCTCTCTCCGCCGCCCGGTGGGTCCGGCGGGAACTGGCGGAGCAGAGGAGGGCCGGGGGTGTGTCCCGCCAGCGAGGGCACGGGGCGGGGGACCAGATCCTGCTGTCAGCGCGCCGGGGAGGGGCCGGCGGCGCCCCTTCGCGGCGCTCGGGCTCCGGGGGGCTCGGAGCAGGCGGAGGTTGTGGGCGCAGGAGGCGGAGGCAGGGCCCGGCAGGCAGCGAAGGGAAGGGAAGGGAGGGGAGGGGAGGGGAGGGGAGAGGGGAAGCGCGCGGGGAGGGGCTCCGGGACGGGGGAGGGGCTCGGGAAGACGGGGAGGGGGCTGCAGGCGGCCCGAGGGGTAGGGGCGGGTCGGCGCGCCCCCGCCAGAGCCAAGAGAGCAGCCAGAGGCCTGGCGCGGCACTGGGCTAGCCCGCTGGGCACAAAAACTCGGGGTGGCTTTGGAGGGCGGAGGCTTGGGGAAAGTGAACGCGGCGCYCCCCCATCCTGGCTTTCTGTCTCGGAAAGGATTTGTGCCTTCTTGTCGCCACCTTTATGTCCCCCTACCTCTCCTGTCCCACATAGCTCTTTAATGAAAAGTAGTTTATTACCCGGCTGTTACTGCCCAGGGACTCAGAAAGAGAAAGGAATGGAAAGGGCCTGCATTAAATCCTTCAATCAGAGCCTCTTCGGAAACACCTGCCCCCGCCCCCATCGGGTCACAAAGGGTGAATTCTCCCCGGAAATGGGATCGATGGATTCGCTGCATGAGTCGTTCATCGATCTGGGCTTGTGTAACTATCCTGTGACATCATTTACCAAAGACAAGGTTACATACTACATAACAAGGCTGCCTTAAGCCCAGGGCTCCCCTGGGACCCTCCCGGGGCTAGCTACCAGGGAGGGGAACACACAATGGTGRGAAAATCCACTGGGTCGGGGGCCAGCTCTTCATTAGCTCCAGGCTCTGACTTTCTCACCACCCTCCCTCTGTTCTGGAAAATCAACTATCCAAGCCACTTGTCCATCTCTGGACTTGGAGCACAATTTTACTTAATTTGATTTAGCTTTTCCCCCAACTATTTCAACATTTTTTTCCCATTCKACTTTCAAACATTTAAAGGGGGAGAGCTTTCACAACTAATCCAACTGTTTCACAATCACAATGAAGTTTTGTGACTGTKGACCAATGGAAACATCTGAAATGGGGGCGAAGAGTTTTGTGATCTTATTTTCTTCTTTGCACTATCAGAACCCTTGTACCAATCGAAGACTGCATTCCCACATTTGCTTGGGGCAGAGTACCCCACTCTGTTCCAACCATTTTGGGGAAGGGTGCAGGGACACCAAATGATGGCACATGAGAAGGAAATACAGAAGAGCATAGGGGTCCAGACTTGATGCACTGAAGACTTCACAGTTGTATCAGACAAGGGCAGCTACTTGCCAATTCCAATGCCAAAAAGAAAGAAAGGAGAGAGAGACAAAGAGAGAGAGAAAGACTAGGCATCTTGTCTGAGATGCTAAAAAATGCTTTTGGGTATTGCAGCAAGAATACTAGGAGAAGGTGATCTGGAAGTGAAGTTCAATTGATGGGGAAACAGGGAGAGTAGGGCCCCCTCTCTCAAGCAAAGTTTGTTCCTTGAAGGGGTGGGTGGGAGAAACGGCTGTCAGTATTGAACTTCCAATCCAGCTCCCAGTCTTCTCTGGTGATGAGTCAAGGAAGTCTGTGAGTTCAGTTAAAAGGATTCATAATAGCACTAGCAGCCCTTCCTCTACAGAAGGGAAAGCATTCTAATACTCTAACAATCCCCTGGGGAGGGGAGCTGATGTTTGTCTGTTGCAGGGAAAAAAGAGGAGGGGACCCAGTTCACCATGGGTCCCCCTTGGGAATCAGAGCAGTAGGCTCAGGCAAGAGGGCACCACGGCTCTCCTGCTCACTCTCCTACTCCTGGGCGCYGATCCACACTGAATATGACACCAAACACAAGAAGTCTGTGGAGAGAGGGTCCCATGCTCCCCCGCTGCCCTGGCAATATGGTGTTCACCTAACTTGTATTGATCCTTTTCCCACTTAAGAAATTCCAGAAAATCTGACATCTCTTAAATTCAGTTTGTTTGTTTGTGGTGCTTTTTGTACCAAGGATTGAACCCAGGGGTGCTTAGCCACTAAAACACATACCCAGCACCCCCCCACTTTTTTTTTTTTTTCAGACAGGCTCTTGCCAAGTTGCTTAGAGCTTCGCTAAGTTGCTGAGGCTGGCCTTGAACTTGCTGCTTCAAGCCTCTCAAGCTCTGAGGTTCCAGGAGTATGCTACTGTTCCCAGCTTAAATTCAATTCTTTTTTCTGTTTTTTTTTTTTTTTTTTTTTTTTTTTTTTTTTTTTTTTTTTTTTTTTTTTTTGGTGGGACCAGGGATTGAACCCAGGGCCTGTGCATGCTAGGCAAGCACTCTATCAACAGAGCTGTATCCTAGCCCCAAATTCAATTCTTTAAGCCCAACCTCAACATACTTCCAACTTCCCCCATGCTCCTGAACAGTCTCCATTGRAGGGAGTACCCGAGTGCTACCACTTAATCCCAACCCCATTGTACCAAGAGCTCTGGAGAACAGAGGTTATTTATATGGTGGGAGAAAAGGTATTTATGAATGAAATGGTGCAGGCAGGTGCCCTTCCCTAGGGACATGTCAACCTCATGCAAACTTCTTTTCCACCATTGCTTTAGGTATTCCCTTCCATTCAACACTTGTTTACTGAGAGCCTCCCAGGTGCCTGGTTCTTCCCTAAAAGATGGAAATTAGCAAAAGTCAGGTTGGAGATGGGGCCTGTGCATAATTAGGTACCTACTATGTGCTTAGTGCCTCAGGACGGCCTCTGTTGGAGACAATGGCTTGAAGAGCCAGTGCTGGAGGGGATCAGATAAACTCCTATTTTGCCACCTCCATCTATGAATAAGCTGGGATAACTCCAATTCAAGGATACTGTGTGAGTTCAAGTGACAAAACACAAACTGAAAAAAAAAAAGTTTGGGATAAATGAAGGAAAAAGAACTCAAGATAAAGATGCAAACCAATAACTGAAAATCAGATTTTTCCTAAACAAGCAATTATAGAATGTTTAGAATCTAAGAATTTTCCAGCTGGAAGGAACCAGAGAGGTTATTCATTCCTTTAATTTTACAGAGAGAAAACTGGGACCAAAAGAATCTAAGCAAGTTGCTGGATGCCACATAGCTAGTTAGGCCCAGATCCACCATATTTTCCCTCCATCATGCTATGTGCCTATTCACAGGCAAGAAAAGTTCATTTAAAAAGCACACTTAGGGGCTGAGATTGTGGCTCAGCTGTAGAGCGCTCCCCTAGCATGGGTGGGACCTGGGTTCGATCCTCAGCACCATATAAAAATAAAGGCATTGTGTTGTGTCTATCTACCCCTAAAAAATAAATATTAAAAAAAAAAAAAGAGCACACTTAGCGGGCTGGGGTTGTGGCTCAATGGTAGAGCGCTTGCCTAACATGCGTGAGGCACTGGGTTTGATCCTCAGCACCACATAAAAATAAAGATGTTGTGTCTGCCGAAAACAAAGTAAATATTAAAAAAAAAAATTCTCTCTCTCTCTCTCTCTCTCTCTCTCTCTAAAAAAAAAAAAGTTAATTAGATCACACTTAGCACATGTATTACCACCTATAGATTCAGAATGCTGCATGCTCTTGAACCCTGGCATGCAACCAAGAATTGTTCCTCACACATGAATCACATTGCCTGGATCCCTGTCCCCAAGGAAGACTGGATAGTCCTCCAGGTTAGGGTCTGTGCATGTGCAAATCCCACCTGCTCCCTGTATGCACAGCCTACCCCACCTCCTCTCCCATGGATGGTCTTTGTGGCCACTCCAAAGACAACATACAGGAAAACACTGAAAACTATTGAGCACTAAGCAAAGGCACAGTCTAATCCTTTCTTCCTCCTTTTATGGCAATTGCCAAGAGTGGAGGTGCACACCTGTGATCCCAGCAACTAGGGAGGCTGAGGTAGGAAGATCACAAGTTCGAGGCCAGCCTCAACAACCTGTCAAGGCTCTAAGCAACTTAGTGAGATCCTATCTCAAAACAAAAAAATAATAAAGGACTGGGGATGTGGCTTGGTGGTAAAATTCCCCTGGGCTCAATCCCCAGCGCTGCTAAAAAAAAAGAAAAGAAAGAAATTTTATGGCAATTGTTAACCATTCACTTGGTTATTAGTCAATATTAGAACTGGGATGGCTCAGACTCTACTGTATTGAACCGTATTTACACTTTTTATTTTATTTAACTTTCATGAGCTTAAGTTGTAACTTCTAAGCCAATAAGAAGTCTGTGAGGGCCTTAAGGACCATGAACTTAGACTTTGACACAACCCTCTTCCTCCCCACCCCCATCCCATAAACCACTTCTGCCGCTTGCCATCTGCCGCTTGCCATGCACACCCCACTCATCACAGGGCTTTCATTTGTGTTCAACAAATGATTGCATTTTTAAATTACTGGGACCTCAGCAGATATTTGTAGAGGTGGCTTATTCTAAGGGATGCCTCAGAAGAGTTGGAAGATAGAATCTCAGAGCAGGGCTTATCTAACCTGGGTTCTAGTCCTAGCTCAGCCACAGTCCAGCCTTGTGACCTTGAAGTGAATTCCCTTCTCTGGGTCTCTGGTGATCTTTCTGGGCCCTTCCTTCCACACTCTTCCGTGGTGGATAAACTATTCTGTRAAGTGAAGTCTCACTAGATTGTTACCTAGAGATGTTCAAGTTGGAGTGAAATTTGGGGCCCCCTCCTGGCCAAAGTGGTTAACTCCAGCAGCTGGCCCAGGCAGCATCCCTCTGGCTACACTCTGGTGGGGACAAACAGGAGGGCCTGGCATGAAAAGCCTGACATTCTACAAAGAGCATACATACTCCTGGGCTCATGCATCTCTCTCTGTTTCCTCTCCTTTCTCCCCTCTTTCTTCTTCCCCTTCTCTCTTTCTCAAATTTGGCAGTAACATATGACTTATGTTTGGGGCATGCTTTGAAGATGGTCCTCTCTGACGCCAACTTCCCAGGAAGGAAATTGCTGGTCAGGTTTTTCTTGCTGGACAATAGGTCCAGGTTTGGGCCCTAGAACTGCCCACAACTCACTAATTCCAGCCATAATAAGACCCTGCCAATTTTTCTCTGATGCCCAACA